CAAAAAAACAAAATTAAGGGGCTGGAGAGATGGCTCAGCAGTTAAGAACACTGGTTGCTCTTGAAGAAGACCCGGGTTCAAATCCCAGCACCCACATGACAGCTAATAACTGTCTGTAACTCCAGTCCCAGGGGATCCGACAACCTCTTCTGACCTCTACGGGCATTGCACAACACGGGTGCACTTACCTATAAGCAGGCAATACACACATACACATACACACAAAATAAAAATAATAAATAAAATTTTAAAAATAATAAAAAATTTAAAAACCATAAAATTAATTAGCTAATCAATTAATTATTCAATTAAATTTTAATTTCACATAAAGGAAAAACAAATTTTGTTTTGAGACAGGGTCTCATTTTATAGCCCAGACTCTAAACTGGCTTTGAACTCATTTGTGGCCCAGGCTGGCCTTGAACTCATGATCCTCTTGCCTTAGCCCCCGGAGAGCTGTGATTACAGGTATATATCACCACCTGAACAAATAACTTTCTTCAGTGTAAGTACTTCTCATACAATATTTGGAACATACTTACACTGATAAAAATGATTACTTGTTTATCTGAAACTCAATTTAATCGGTTATCTTACCTTTATCTGGCAACCTTGATCCAAGACCTCATCAACACCAGGTTTCCAGAGAGAGCGGGATTTGAGTAGTTGTATGGGAAAAGGAGCATCAAGATAAATGGATTCTCTCTACACAGGCCTAAGGTTTCAGATGAGTATGCAAGGAACAGTTATAGTCCTTCTCTCCCCTGGCCCCGCAAATTCCCCCATTCCCTGTGAAGAGCCCCCTCCTCTGTATGCCACCAGTATCACATACAGGGTTTCCTGATATCCTGAGTCCCCTCAAGGGAGACACCGGCTCTATTGAACATGTAAGCTCTTGCCTCTCTCCTGTGTGTTATTGTTCATGCCTAGACTTGCTGGGAACACCACATACACAACAGTCTGGGACTGGCAGAGCTTCAAAGGTGACAACCCAGAGTGATGCCTGCTTTACATCTTAGTGTGCACACCAAGAGCGGGGCACTGTACCGGCATAGAGGCTGCACTGGAGAGAAATGGGAAAAACCGAGTGGGATGCTGTTCAGATCCAAAACAGAACACCTGATCCAGGTGCTTCCTGGCCTCGTGACTATGGGGTGAAAAGATGGCTCAACACAAGTATGCATCACTCCACTGGTCCCTCAGAGGGAAAAACAAAGGACTGTTTGCTCTCCCAATGAAGCTTAGGTCTGAACATACACCATGACCCTTGACTAGCTGCCAGAGGAAGGTCAGGACACCTTGGAGTCACCTTACACATGATTCCTGGGTTAGAGTAGCAGGTGAGAACCCAAGGCCTCCTTGTGGTACCCGCCTCCACCAAAGACAAAAGACACAATTTGAAAGGGGTGGAAATAAGAGGAGATGCACACAGACACCCACGCTGGGGGCAAAGCAACCAAAGTGGAGGGGGCAGTGGTTTAACCAAGGGGTATCCAGGTCCCCTGCTTCTATTTGAATGTGGTAAAAGATCTCAAAGGGTGTCTAAGCAGCACTAGATGTGAGCACATGATTTATAATGGAAACTAGTTCTGCTGGTGGTTCTTCACTGGGGGACTGTGAATACCTAAATAAACACTAGACAAAATTATATGGATGGGAAGAGAGCTGCCACCTGATCCAGAAAGGTTGCGAGCAGCTCGCCAGCAGAATGGCGTCACACCAAGAAGGAGGTCCTAAGCCCCCAACCCTTCAACTCTGCAACACATTGACCTCATCACAGAGCAATACCATGTAACTCAGTAGATCATTCAAGTCAGGAAAACAAAAGTTAGCTCATCAAATCCTTGTTACAACCCTACCCAGTGGGTACTCTCCAAATCTTCACTCCACAGGTGAGAAAACTGGGCCTAGAGTAGTTAAGGACTCTATCTAGAGTTACACAGCCACCGAGTCAAGAACCAGTCACAAACAATGTGTCCTCAATGCCTAAACTCCAAGCCACTCTCTAACACAGTCTCCCAGAAAGTTGAGTTCTTGGGTCACCACTGACCAGAGGTAGAATGAGCAATTCTATTTATTTTTCCCCCATAGGGGCCACCATGTTGATATATGTTATTTTGTATACATGTGAGTGTGTGCCTGTGTGTCTGTGTGTGTGTGTGCAAGTGCACGTGTACATGTATAGGCATTAAGGTGTAGGAGTAGAGGTCAGAGGACAACTTGTGGAAGTTGATTTTCTCCTTCCACCATGCGGGTCCTGGGTATTGAACTCAGGTTATCAGGTTTGGTAGCAGGCACCCTTACCCACTGACTCATCTTGCTGGCCCAGAAGCCACCATGTTAAAACCAGCAACCCCAAGAAACAAAAAGTCATGAGAATAAGTGAATGAATGAATGCTACTAGAACTCATCATGGAGGGAAAAGGGCTTACAGAGATGCCACATTTGGTGGCCTAAAGGCTAAATTCTAAGGCCATCTTGACTCCTCTCCAGCTGCAACTACAGTAGTCGCTCAGCATCCATGGGGATGACTGCTTCCAGGACTCTACATGAATACCAAAACCTATGGATGCTCATCTCATGTAAAATGGTGTTCCTTCTGCATATAACCCCTGCATATGTTCCTGTATATTTCATGTCTCTAGATTAGTTACCACAGCTAACACAATGTAAATGCCACACAACTAACTGTTCTACTATGTTGTTTATGGAGCATGAAAAGAAAAGAACCTGTATGTGTTCAGGATGGAGAGGAAAAAAATTAATGTTTTCTTTCTCTTTTCCCTCGTTCTTAATAAAACAGTCTCAAGTAGCCCAGGTTGCCCTCTAATTCACTATGTAGCTGAGGATGACCTTGAACTTCTGATCCTCTTGCCTCTACCTCTCAAATGCTGAGATTACAGTTACGTGCTACCATGCCTGGTTTAAAAGTATCTTCAGGGCCAGAGAGATAGCTCACTGAGTAAAGGCACTTGCTTCCAAGCCTAATGATTTGAGTTTGATCCCCAGGATCCATATGTTGGAAGGAGAGAACTGACTCCTTCAAGCTGTCATCTGACCTCCAGACATATGCTGTGGCATACAAATGCCACCCCTCCCAAAATAAATATATCAATGTGCAAAAAAGACCTTTGATCTGAAGTTGATTGAATTTGTAGATGCGAATCTTAAGAGACATAAGAATATAGAGGATGGCCAATATGGACAAGCATGGCCACAGTCATGGCCATTCCAAAGCTAGGGCCAGCACATCACTAATCTGCTCCATGCCTGTATCCCCTCCCAACACTGACAGGCAGGAAGTGAGCCTGGGGAAGGGGAGAGGTGGAGGAGCAGCATTCCTTTCTTGTGAGATTCTATAACTTGGGAGGGGGTGGGGACCAGAACAGAAGTTCTGATTTGGAAGTTTCCTCTGGCTTCTGGCCTCCTTCCAGCTCATCAATGAGCCCTTTCAGGGTCCACTCTGCCCAACTGCATTATCATTTCCTGTCCTACACACTGTACCCATTGATGGGGTGCAGGCACATCCCACCAGTTTATGCTGGGAAGACCCAGGGAGACTGGGCAGGAATGGAGAGGGGAAGAGGAAGAAGGAAAGAGGGTCAGGAATACTTCTAATTCTGGATATGGTGACATAGTCAACCCCATATTTTTGGACTGAAAGGATCTATAATGAAGAAAGTTGGCTTTTTTGACTTGTCTCATAAGTAGAGTAATAAGGACCCTGAAATAAAAGGAGGCATTAAGGGCACAAACACCCAGGCCTGTCTCTCTCCAAGATGATCCACCACCAAAGGGCTGCAAAGGAAGGCCTGGACCCCTGTCATGAGAGCTACGAGTAGATGTGTCTCTTTTTTGTGCATCTAAGTCTAAATCAGAATCACATGCTAAGGAGGAATCGAGAATACCTCAGCTTTCCCTTCTAGGTAGAGAGGAAGAGTTGCTGTTCACTCACAATGGCTCTCTAGTACTTGCTTCCGATACACGAGACCCTTCTAGTGGCCAAGTCTGTGCTCTACGACTTTCCACAACCCGCCACCTCTGGCCATTCTGATTGGTCTAGAGAGGTTGCCTGATCCAAGTCAGATCAATCAAAGCCTTCCTTGGGATTTATCAATTTGGAAATGGGGGTCAACATCTCTGGTGTTGGGAGCCACAGATCTGAAATTCAAGTGCTATTGACACCTAAGTTCCTTAGTGTGTGAAGTAACAGAAATCAAGGGCAGTGCCAGAGGGAAGCAGAGACAAGACACAGAGAGCTGATCCTGGTTTTAGATATGCCTGAAACCCACTGCCTCTCCATCCTTCTCACCACCTAGCCAATTGCATAAGCTTCTCTGGTCTATTTTTGTCTAAGTCAGTATTAGTGTAGAACATCGCTTGTCACCAAAAGACCCTAAACTGAATTAGCTACCATCAGGAGTGTCTTTAATGGTAACATGTGGCTATGTACTGTCATCTGGCTAAAGAAACACACCTATGTGAATTAGAGACACACATCTATCACCCACATGTACAAACTGGGTGGCAAGTGCCTTTTTTGGTTAGGTAGACAGATGTGGGGCTATGTCTAGTATGCATCTGTTGTTCTATAAATGACTTATTTTCAGTTTCAGTCTTCTTTGCATGTTTGCTTTTCTTTGCTAGCAATGATGCAGTTTATGTTTCATCTTAGATGTTTACAGACATGTCTGTTCAGGCACACAGTGCCTACAGCCACCCTCCTGCCTTCCCACAGCCTCCACCCCCAGGCGAAGGAAGGTGACAAAGCATGACTGTCAAGATCATTTAAAGAAGCCAATAAAGCCCGAGTGTCTGCACGCAACAGTTAAGGTGGTGACAAGCCCAGCTCTCCTGTATGGATTCCCTCATCTGTCCCTGTATGCCACGCTAGATTCTGGCCCTTGGCTCTGGTGAAGACTCTCTGGAGGAGGGAGGATGTGAAAGAGAGCAGCCCACCAGAGAGACTCAGGTTACCATCTGAGCTCTGGCCAACTCACCTGCAGGTCAAAGAATTTGCTGTACCTCCGGTAGATGGTCTGGGAGGTAGAGTCGGACCAGGTCACATTGATGATATATACCTGTGGGAGAAGAAGTGAGAGTAGGTGAGCAGGTGAGCAAGGCTGGGCTCTAAGCAGGGCCAGACATCGTTTCACATGACTGGGAGTACACCACAGCCAGGGCCATTCTCATCTGTGACCAGGGCCTAGCTCAGAGTCAGGTACCATGTGGATGCTATAGTGTATGCCAACACACACACATTCACACACACATATGTGTACACACAACAAACACATGCAAAAATACATACTAATACACACAAAGATACACATACTTATATACACATACATACATATGTATAAGCATATATACACATGCATGCACATACATGCACACACACATACACACTCTCACACACATGCAAAGGTACACACATACACTCGCATACTCACACATATGCACACACACTGACACACATACACATGCACGTACACATACACTGACACTCATATACACACATGTACAAACATACACACACATTCATACACACATACATGCACACACTCATATACATACACACTCACATACATGCATGCACACAGATATACACACATATGCACACATACACAAATATACACTCACACATGCACAGAGATGCATACACACACACACACACACACACACACACACACACTCACTCACTCCCCACCAGAGGCATTCAATAGAATGCCAAAGATGGTTTTCTTAGGATAGGATTAAAATTTCCTTCTCTTTATTTATATATGTTATCTACAATGAACATAAAATTCAGGTCACTGCAGTTTTTTAAGCAGCTGATTTCCACTGGTCCTCAACTTTCTAATGAATGAAATTGCATAAGGGGACCTCCCAAATTGTAGGTCCATGGGCTCCACACTTTGAAATCTGCATGGGTAGACCCAGGCGTGGGGAACTGGGATATCTACACCATGGACAAACCCAGGTCACTCAGCTGCAGTTTCCATCCCCAGTATTACTCTGAACAATGCTTCAGGAGACCATAAGCATTTCAGAGATGTGTGACTCACCTCAGCCTCTCTATGTCCTGAGAAGCTGCTCAGAAACGTTCACTACATTGAACAAGGAAGGTGGGCCTCTGGCCTGATTCACAGGAGACGTGGAACGGAACACATGGAAGATCTGAAACCTTCTCTCCTGGGTCCCTCACAAAGGCAAGAATTCTAGGGTCAGGCTGTCACCCTGTTTCCTTAGCTTTTTAGTAGACTATACAGGGCTATAGTCTCAAGATACCATGGAAGGCTGCCTGGCCTAGGAAGTCTCTGGGGAAGGAGAGAAGGTTCCTTGCCCACACACTGTGATTGTTAGTCTTCTTGGTTCTGCACCCCTGGGAAAGGCCTAAACTAAAGACGCCCCTCCTATCCTCGCATAGCCACATGACTATTCTTCTGACCTCCCTGACACAAATGGGACACAGGGGAGACCTCTGGAGAGACGAGGAGGATATAGGTGCCCAGCGGTAACTTCCATGCCTGGATGCTCATCAGAATTACCTGGGAGCTGCAGAAATGCAGGTTTCCAGGTTCCTGCTGAGTAAGTCCAACTCCATGGGCCCATGGGGCTTTTCCAGTGAGAATCTCATAGTCAGAGAGGCCAGGATCAGGCCACAGGAAAAAGGAACTTCAGCAAAGAGGAGAAGCATTTAGGCACCGTGAGTCAGACTTGCACACTCCCCAGCTGCAGGGAGCAGGACTTGCACACAGGAGTGCTAAGGCCTTATACTCGGTAGCTCAGTCAACAGTCAAGGATATTTGCTCTGAATCCTGTCTTCCTACCCTTTCATGCTAAGTCAACATCATGCTATAGATAGTGTTTGTTCTGAAATACAACCATGGAGACGCCATAAAGCCAAGCAATTAGGATGGATGTTGCCATTCAGAGATGGGGCATTTATGACAGGAGACTCTGATAAGGAAGAACAAATAAAAGGTCATCCCTATCCACATGAGCTCAAAATGAACTACTGGTTTATTATACTAAATATGGTCTGGGGGTGAGGCTCAGTGGTATAGCACTTATATGTGGGGTTCAGTGCTCGATCTCCACAGTAGTGAAGATGAAGTGATGATGATGATGATGATGGTGTTGGTGATAAAGTTGGGCATGGTGGTGCATATCTGTAATCCCAGCATTTGGTAGGTGGAGGCAGAAGGATCAGGAGTTCAAAGTTATCCTCTACTACGTAATGAGTTTGAGGTCAGTCTGAGCTACACAAAACCCTGACTGATAGAGATATGCTTTGCTTTATGCTGTATTTAAACACCTATACAATAATTATAAAGCCATTCAGATAACTAAATGTTAGCTAATGGTTACGTAACTAAATGTACTATATACTAGTATAATATATTTACATGTTTCATCTTTAGCTCCATGGTTATTCTCATGTGGTACAGGAGGAAGATGAGGTCCAGAGAAGCTAAAGAAGTTGCTAAAATGGCACGGCTAATAAAATACAGAACAAAAGGCTTTAACTGAGTCCTTCCTGAATGTCTTGATCACACTAGATATTTTAGTTTTTCTGCAACTGCCTGAGGCAGGGTAAATTATAAACAACAGAAGTTTATTTGGTTCCTGAGACTAGGAAGCCCAAGAGCATAGTGCTGACAAGGGCATCCATGGAACGAGGCAGGGGGACAAATGAGTGCAAGAGACAGAGAGGAAATGAAGCCAAATTCATCCTTTTTACCAGGAACTGGGTTCCGTGACAAGGACATTAATCCATTCAGGAGGGCAGAGCCCTCCTCACCACACCATCCTCCTCCTGTTATAATGGCAGTTACATTTCAACAGAAGTTTGGAGGGAACATTCATTCCACAGCTACTGGCCTGTCTCTCTATATGTAAATTTAGGTCTGTAATATTTAAATCAAATGACTTGATCAGACTAAACATCTTTTAAAGAAAGCTTCAGGTGGCCAGAAAAGTCTAGATAACCTCGTGCAGCGCTTAGCCTGGAGGAACACAGAGGAAGAAGAGCAACTCCGAGGGCCTAGGATGAAGCAGACATAGACCTTGGGGCTCAGACAGAGGTCATCATTCAAGAACGCAGCAAAGCTGGGTCAAAATGCATGCACAGGCACAATGCGTGATGGGACTGTGGAAGAGACGCTGGATTGCCACAGGGTCATTATCCACCCAATGGTCCCTCCCCTCTTCCACCTGCATGTCTCCTTGCCCCAGGTCCCCAGACAGAGAGCAGATGTATGCCTGTGCCAGGTGCTGCCTGATGGCTTTAAGTAATGAGTCTCTGAGCAGCCATGCCCACCAGGAGAAAGCAGGTCTGCAGGTCATTAAACTGTGGCCATCCTCCTGGGCCTGTGAGGTGGAGCTCAGGAAGGACTTAACTGGAGCTTAACACCCATGCTCCATCCTGTGTGGTAATTAGGGGCTTCCCTTCGCCTCCCAGGGAGAATAAATCACAGGTTCACAGCTGGGCAGCTGGAAAGATGCAGGGAATCCTGGCAGTTGGGAAGATGCAGGGCCTTGCACATGCTAAGAGACCCCTTCTTTGGCAGAGGAGGAACCTAGGCTTTAAGACAGTGATTTGTCTGGGGCTGGAGAGATGGCTCAGTGGTTAGAGTACTAACTGCTCTTGCAGAAGACCAGGCTTCGATTCCCAGCACCCACATGGTGGCTAGGAACCGTCCTTAACTCCAGTTCCAGGGGAATCCAGCGTCCTCTTCTGACCTCCGAGGCATTGCATGACACAGGTACACTCACATACACGCAGACAGTACACTCATACACATAAAATAAAAATAATAAAATATTTTTTTAAAAAGTGATTTGTCAACTAGGGCATGACTCAAGTGAAGGGAGAATTCTAGAACCAATCTCAGCTGGATCTCATTCCCAGCACTCACTTTAGTGGCTGTGAGACCTCAGCCTGGCCTCTGGGGCCCTCAAACTCCTCCTCTATATAAGGGTGGCTACCTCAAGGCTGCCAAGCTCAATGCACACATGGGTGTCACTGTAGTGTGCTCACTTAGTGTAGAGCTAGGACAGGAACCTATATATCCTAACTCCTAAGTATCATGGACATGTCCCCTCGAGAGAGTCTGTTGTTCTTTCCTCTTCTAAAATAGTAAAATGTTTGCCTTGCAGGCATGAGGATGGAGTTCTATCTCTAGCACCCATGTTTAAAAAAAAAAAAACAAAAACTAGGTGTTCTAGTTTGCTCTCAATTGCTGTGACAAAACACTCTGACCAATACCAACTTGGGGAGGAAAGGGTTTACTTGGCGTACATCTCCCAGATCACGGTTCATTGCTGAGGGAGCCCAAGGTAGGAACTCAGGGCAGGAACCTGGAGGCAGGAGCTAGAGCACAGGTCATGGAGGACTGCTGCTTTTTGACTTGGTCCCCTAGCCCATGCTCAACCTGCTTTCTTAATACAGAACAACCTGCCCAGGGGTGGCACCACCCACAGTGGGCTTGGCCATCTTACATCACTCAAAAATCAAGAAAATACCCCATAGACATGGCCAGAGGTCAGTCCAATGGAGGAAATTCACCAATTGAGGCTCCCTCTACCCAGGTGTGTCAAGTTGACAACTAAAGCTATCCAGCACACTGGGTGTAGTGGTGCATGCTTATAATCGCAGCATTGAGGAGAAAGAGACAGGTAGGGGGATCTCTGGGGTTCTCTGGCCAGTCAGTCAGTCCAGTTTACTTGGCAAGCTCCAGACCAGTGAGAGGAGTTGTCTCAAAAAATGTGAATGACCATCTAAGGAAACACACACACACACACACACACACACACACACACACAGAGCACACACGCATACTAACCACACATATACATGCACATACATGAGATAGTCAAAACTTCCTAAAGATTCAATTCTTGACCTGAACCGCACCAAAGGCACATGCATTGGAGAACCAGAGGAAAGGGGTGACAGAAAGCTGTCCTGTGGTCAGCCACAGCTACTCAGCCAGGACATGGCCATGATTTCCCCCAAAATGCATTTTTTCCTCACTTACCAAAGGACTGCTCCCCTAACACTTTGTGTCTCACT